TTTTTTTTTTTCATGTATGAAAAATTTTTTTATCGGGATTTATGTAAAAAAATCATATTCCATTTAAAAAAGTGGAAGTAACCTTCATACAACCTTAAAAAAATTTTTTTTAATTGATTTTACTATTGCTTATATCTCACATACAATTTTCATTTGAAACACTTTTGCCTACTAGGTTCAGTTTTTTTATATATTTCGGTATTTTATTTTGGGTGGAACACTGTATGTTTGTGGATCTTTCCAGTAGTGTATTCTTTACAGTATTTAATGTTTGCTCCAACTAAGAGCATGTATTATATATGAGATATTTTATTTTGTATTATATGATATAATACATCGCTTAGTTTTATACATATTATACTCCATGTGGCACCATCTTTACATCATGTATATAATTAATATTTAAGATCAATCTCTACATTATCCACGCTAAAAATCTGTCCGAAATTTGCAAACAGACAGCCAATCAATTGTATACGTGTAATAGGTGATATTTTTATACAAATACAAATAAAATTTGAAAATCAATCGCATTTCTTTCTTATATTCAGAGTATTTTCTATTTTTTTTTTTTTGAAAGGATATATTGCAACTAGAACCACATACTTCTATAAATTACACTAAACTGCTAACTGTAGGTTTGCTTGCCTTGCTTGAAAACCCTACAAATTTTTTAACTTAAAATAAGATATATATATTTGGGCGTTGAAAAGAGAGACTACGAGGATGTTGAGTGCAAAAAATGCAAGCAATGTGAACAGACCTAATGTCTATAATTTACACTTATCAGTTCTAGAAGTTAATTGCATATATTAAAATGAGATGAAAATTATAAAAGAGCAAATTAACTAGAATACTTATGGAATACTTTTATGAATCAACGTCTAATGAATTTACTCACTTTTGTAATTTTCACCTTATTTCAAAATATACAATTGACCTCCTGGGGTATGTTTAAATTCTTACCTAATGCTCCCCAGGGATACATTCCAAAATTCGATTTTATCAATTCAAATATCATATTATTCTTGTTGTTCATTAATATTCACTAAATATGAACAAGAATAAAAAACACTCGGAGTTGACAGAATCGAGTTTTGAAACACACCCAAAATATCATGATGTTATTCTTGTTTAACATTCGTAAATTGAAATCAGTTGCATTGGAATAAGAAACACAATGTCGCTGACGTCATTTCGGGAACAAAAAACGTTTTAGTATGCATATTTTTTGTGAAACTTACAATGCAATTAGATTATCTTTTCTTTCCACCTACCTTTCCTTATCTCTTTTAAATATAAAAAAATATTTTATGCATTTAAAAAGTAGTGAAGATATAGATTATTATTATATACATTTTTTAAACTTTAATTTCCTACATTGATTTATCAAAAAATTGACTTTCATATGTATATAATTTGGCTGTTAGTTAAATTTCTTAATACGTTATTCTCTGCTGCATGGAGTACTATATTGATACTGGATTGGTAAAGTTTTCTTCTTTGCGTGATGTAATTTAACTCTCATAATGGCGTGACCGATTTTATTGATGCTATCTTGATACTCCGATTTCCAGGATGGCAATGACATCTGTCTTATATCTTTACATTTCTTTTCGCGTTTTAATCTGATTTTTGATTCATGATAACGTTTTCCAAAGCTCGCATCTCCATTATATATCGAGGAAGACAAAGAACAATACGGCGAGCAATCAGTTTTCATGATTATTTTTGGGATACTACACGATGGGCATTTAGCAGTTGTATCGGGAACTGTCAACGCCACATCTCGCTGTGTCATACGTGCAGCTGCTAAGAAAATTAAAATTTCTTTAAGTAACATCATTAATAATATAAAGACAAATTATGAACGTGTGTAATACGTGATACTTACGATTTATTCCACAGAATGTACTTACCAGGATCACTGTAATCCTTTTGATATGTCGTTTTATACATAAAATCAATATCCCTCCGCTCCATTGGTTCTTTCCGAGATGGTTTCTCTAACGTCTCGTATAAACCAGGATATGCTTCTTTAAACTTTAGTTTAAAATTTAATTCTTTGTAATATCCATTACATTAATTTTGATTTATTATGTTATTTACATTTACATTAAAATCTCTTTGTATGTTAATATTATATTAATTTTTCAGAATAAATTTGTCGTAAAATATAAGTCGAAATTATATATACAGGGTATAACATAAAAAGGGCCCATGAATCATATAGCACTATTCTTGATCAAATATTTAGTCAAAATGTCTTGAGCCATTTTTTTACAATGTTTAATAAAGCAGTTATTATCAAGTAAAGGTAATTCAATCAACGCGCGCGCGGATGTATGTACATTCACACATACTATCAAGCGCGTGGCTCATTGACATGTGCTCGTTTAAAGGACCCAGCCCGGCACCGGTTGAAGAAATATAAACTTATACTTTAATTAATGGATATATTGTTCTCATGTATATAGATAAAAGTAGATTCATATTTTAAATGAATACATTTTATATATTATAAATACATACATACATTTTATGTATTATAAATTGTTTTGCTTAAAAGCGATATTTTCTTAAAATTATCTAGACAAAACAAATTATAATTTCATCTTTTATCTAGATAAATTTAAAATAATAAAAATCATTTTTATATATCTTACAAAATTATCTAGTTAAAGATAAAGTAA